TTTTGGTTTTTTGAGACAGGGTCTCACTATGTAGTTCAGACCGCCCTGGAACTCACTGTGTAGCCCAGGTTGGCCTCAAACTCACAGCGATCCTCCTGCCTCAGCCTCCGGAGTGGTGGGATTACAGGCGTGCACCCACCACGCCTGGCTATATTTTTATCTTAATGTTACCCTTTTTTGTTGATTCTCAGTCTGTCGACCATAAAGATAAATCTTTTAAAAACTTGTTTTCAGTATTATAAAAACTATAAATCGTGTGAATGTTCTCTGTAAGTCTAACAAACTTTTGATTAGGCTGAAATTAATGTAATATGCTGATTAGTTTTTTTAGCATTTGTATTCTTTATTAATAACCTCATTATTACATTTACATATAGTTTGCTTGGTAAGTGATGTTTTTAGATATGTGAATTTTGTAAGAGAAATGTAGACAGGTTCAGGGATTTAGCTTAGTGGTTCTGCCGCCTGTCTTGCAAGTACAAGTTTTCGAGTTTGATCCCCGGTACCGAAAACAGAGAGAGAGAGAAAAGTAGACAAATGCAGGTTCTCTTTTTGACAATTTAGAAATTTAGTCTGATTAGATCATGATGCAGATAATTCTTTTAAATTGAAAATTAGATTCTGAACTATGGAAACATTTTAATTTTAATAAGCACAATTACAGTTTTCTTCTCTGAGCTATAGTTTCTATGTAGTTGCTTTCCAGAACTCTTATATTTTCTTTCTAGTTATTTTTGGTTTTATTGGGACCAAAATTATAAAGTTCTTAAAGCCTTTAATAATTTAAATAAAGTTCATTGAATTTAGTGTCAGTTATGCTTTTATAATATCTTCCTAAGTCTTCTTGGAAAAAGGAATATACTGAATAAAGTTTTTTAAATGTTCGTAATTGATTTTATGTGTAGTTGTTTTTGGAAAGATTGTGCCTTTACAAAAGAAGACTTGCATTATGACTGTTATTTTCCTCTGTGCAGAAATAATATCTGTAAATTAAATTTGGTAGCATCTGAAATTTAATTCATAATGATTAAGGAGTAGTACCCCTGTGTACTTCTACCACAACAAAAGCACAAAACTTTGGAAGAGTAGCAGCATTTCTGTGAATAATCTGAAATTCCCTATAACTTTTCTGAATTGGTGACATGATATGTTTTCTTTTTCTATGTCTTGGTCCACTGATAGCCTGGAATGAGCGCCTAGTTTTTCTTAGTAACTGTATTTTAGGCACCATTCGTTGGGAGTTGGCATTCCAGACAGAGTGTTGCTGCTGTAACTGCTGTCTGTGTACTGTTATATTTTGGGATGCCTTTTGTTTACTTTTTGTGTGTGTGTTGGGGACTTGAACCTACAACTAAGCACATGTTCCACTACTGAGCTGTACCTGCAATTCTGTTGACTTGTATGAGTTAGGAAAATTATAATAATGGTATTTCATATGTATTGATCACTTTCTCTTGTTCTTTTTTTTTTTAAATATAGGACCTACCAGATAGTATTCAAGTAGGTGGCAGGATATCGCCTCAGACAGTCTGGGATTATGTGGAAAAAATAAAAGCATCAGGAACTAAGGTGAGCAAAACTGTTTCCCAGTCCCATTGTCGGGAAATGTTTACAGAGTCAGTTCTTCCAGGCTGTGGTGCCAGGGGCCAGGACAGCCCCACATGTGCAGAACAGGCCTCACAGACTGAGCAGGAGCCACTGCTAGGATGCAAGCAGTCGGCGGCGCTCTCTTTTACTTTTTGCCTCTGATAAGAGCTCTGTGTGTCTTCTGTCAACATTTTTTAAAAAACTCTCCTAAGTATTCACCCTGGAACCCCACCTTGCTTTATTACAGGCATTTGCTTCATTTAAGGCACAACTAAATTTTGCAATAAAGAAACTAAACACAATGTAGCTTCTTTTTCCTCTTCTGTGAGATAGACCATTTCCCTTTTTATTCCTACATTTAGTCCCTGTGAAGTGGACAGTCAGTAGACCTGTATCTTTGTATGTAGATCAGTGCTCGCTTATCTGGAGCTTTCGGAGGTGTCAGTTACCTGTAGTCAGCCATGCTTCAGAAATATTAAATGGGAAACTGCAGAAGATGCTCTTTTTTTTTTTTTTGGTACTGGGGATTGAACTCAGGTCCTTGTGCTTGCAAAGCAGGTAGCGGAACCACTGAGCTAAATCCCTAGCCCCAGAAGAGTTCTTAAGTTGTAAGTTGTCATTCTAAGTAGCATGGCGAAACCTTGCTCCCCTCCGCCCTGACCTACCCACGACATTGGTCGTGGCTTTGTCCATTGTGTCCAGTGTCTGTGCTGCGCCTGCGCCCTGGCCGTTCCTCACGTAGCAGTTATCGTGGTCATCAGACCAACTGTCTCACTGTCATAGTTGACCTCACTTTGTTTGCTAATGGCTTCAAAGCACAAAAGTGGTGATGCTGGCCATTTTATTACACTATGCTGTTGTGCTTGTTTTATCTTTAGATTTGTTCATCTCTACTGGGCCTAATTTATAAGTCACCTTTATCATGCACATATATATGAAAGAAATACATTTGTGTGGCTCAGTACTGTCCATAGTTTCAGGGATTTACTGGGGACCTTGGCACACACTCCTCACAGAGAAGGGAGGGGTTCGTGGAATTACATAGCGGGTTGACGGTGCCGGATGCTATGAATTCAGTGTCCCAAGAACACTGGCCGCGCTGTAGAAGTAACAGCATTGGAAAGGACATCTCTGCCTCTTAAAAGTTATTTAACCAAGCACCAATTCGTTGGCCATCTTGGAATTCACTTTCTTTGCTTATGAAAATTTTTTTGAAAAACAGACCTATCAGTGTTCTCATATGTTCTGAAGTTTGTAAACTATGTCATTATAATACCTAATAGATTATTTCTAATTAAGGAATAGTATTTAAAACCAAGATTCTTTTAGATTATTCTTTTAAACAACTATTTGTTATTTTCTTAAATAGGAGATTTGTGTGGTTCGTTTCACACCAGTAACTGAAGAAGATCAGATTTCTTACACTTTGCTGTTCGCGTACTTCAGTAGCAGAAAGCGCTATGGAGTGGCTGCTAACAACATGAAGCAGGTTAAAGATCTGTACCTTATTCCTCTGAGTGCCGCAGATAAGATTCCACATCCTCTTGTGCCTTTTGACGGACCTGGTAGGTACATGTTTGAACACTAGAGTAACACTGGGGGCAGTAGCGAGCGAGGCTGAGTGAGCAGACTGGCTGCGGTCTTCTCTGGGTACAGCCCTCTCGAGGGCTCCACAGGCCTACGTGTCAGTTTCCTGTCTTGTGGTCAGTGCAGTGCACTGAGTTTACCCTTTTCTGTAATGGCTGAAAATGACTGTTGCTGTTTTTCATTTTCTGCAGGACTTGAACTGCATAGACCTAATCTGTTACTGGGCCTGATCATCCGTCAGAAGCTGAAGAGGCAGCATAGTGCCAATACTGGCACTTGTCTCCCGGTGGAGGCTCCGGAAGGTGCACCGATAGTCTTACCCCCCGACAAAAAAACTAAAATAGAAGCTTCTACAGAGGAAGCCCTGGAGGAGGAAAATGACTTCTTTAATTCCTTTACGACTGTCTTACACAAGCAAAGAAACAAGCCTCAGCAGAGTCTTCAGGAAGACCTGCCCACAGCTACTGAGCCTTTCGTGGAAGTTACCAAACAGGAGCCACCCAAACCTTTACGATTTCTTCCTGGAGTGTTAATAGGCTGGGAAAATCAACCTACTGCTTTGGAATTAGCAAATAAGCCTCTCCCGGTGGATGACATACTCCAGAGCCTTTTGGGCACCACCGGCCAAGCATACGAGCAGGGCCAGCCAGTGGCGGAGCAGAACACCGTGACAGAAATTCCGTTTATAAGTGGGGAAACAAACCCCCAGGTGGAAAAGGTAGACGGAGTGGAAGTAACCGATGATGAAGCCAAGGAGGTGAAGGTTACGGTAGATGATCTTTCAGAACCTGCAGGTAATTCAGGTGCAGGAGGAGACGAAGCGTCCCTGGTGGGGTCCTCTTCCATTTCTCCAGGGCCTGTGGCGAGTCTTAGTCTCAGAGGTAAACCACCAGATGTTTCTACAGAAGCGTTCTTAACAAATTTATCAATTCAGTCAAAACAAGAAGAAACTGTGGAGAATAAAGAGAGAACCTTGAAAAGACAGGTGGTCCAAGATCAAGAGAATAATTTGCAAGATAATAGGACTTCATGTAGTTCTCCGTGCAGGTCTAATGCAGGAAAAGGAAACACAGATGGTAATGTGACTTGCAGCGAAAACCTCGCTGCTAATACGGCAAAGTCCCCACAGTTTATTAACCTGAAAAGGGATCCGAGGCAAGCAGCAGGACGGAATCAGCAGATAATTGCTTCAGAAAGCAAAGACGGAGACGGTTGCCGAAATGGAGAAAAGCAGGCCCTCCCTGGTCTGTCACACAGCAAGGAGCAACTGACAGAACAGATCAGTGTGGAAGAAAACTCGTCTTCTCCAGAGAAAAACTCCTGTGGTCAGCAGAATGATAACTCACCTTCAGCAGAAAACGTACCTTCTTCCCAAACAGAACAAGCAAAAGCCTCCCAAACACAGGAGGACATCTTAACACAAAATATTGAAACTGTGCACCCCTTTAGAAGAGGACCGGCAGCAACAACATCTCATTTTGAACCTGGGAACACAGGCCAATCAGAATTTCCTCCTAAAAACATCAACTTCACGCCCAGAAGCAGCAGCCCCAGAGCAGGTGCCAACTTCTCACCCATGCGGCCACAGCAGCCCAGCCTCCAGCATCTCAAGTCCAGCCCTCCGGGGTTCCCGTTTGCGGGGCCTCCCAGTTTCCCCCCACAAGGCGTGTTTGGATTTCCACCGCATTTGCCACCTCCACTGCTCCCGCCTCCGGGCTTTGGCTTTCCTCAGAGTCCAGTGGTCCCCTGGCCACCTGTTCATCTCCCAGGCCAGCCGCAGCGTATGCTGGGTCCCCTTGCACAGGCGTCAAGGTACATGGGCCCGCAGAACTTTTACCAGGTTAAAGACATTCGGAGACCGGAGAGGCGCCACAGTGACCCTTGGGGCCGGCAGGACCAACCGCAGCTGGATCGGCCGTTTAACAGGGGCAAAGGGGATCGCCAAAGGTTTTACAGTGATTCACACCACTTGAAAAGGGAGCGACACGAAAAGGAGTGGGAGCAAGACTCTGAAAGGCACAGGCGCAGAGACAGAAGCCAGGACAAAGACAGAGACAGAAAGGGTAGAGAGGAGGCGCACAGAGACAAAGACAGGCCACGGCTGCTGCATGCTGATCGAGGGGCGGATGGAAAAGGGGGCCGGGATAACAGAAGCGCAGAGAGGAAACCCGACAGACCCAAAGCTGAAGACCACGAAAAGGACAAAGATCGAGAGAAAAGTAAACACAGAGAGGCAGAGAAGGACAGGGAGAGGCATCACAAAGACAGGGACCACACCGACAGAGCTAAGAGCAAAAGGTGAAGCCGGCAGGCTGCTGCAGGGTGACGCTGGCCCGACTCCGGACCGCCGTGGCCGGGCCACCTCCGTCCTCACTGTTGGTGGCCCAAGGGACCTGGGCCCCGTCTGCCGGTCACTGTCCCTTCACGCTGAATCTGGTTACAGGAATTTGATATTTTTGAAAGTTTTACATTGCTGTATATTCAAAGATTTGTTTTATTAATATGCAATAAAGGCTTAGAAATTTTAGTTTTCCTTTCTTAATTGGTAAATATGATTAACGATGGAATGTATTTACCGCCTCTAGTTGACATCCTTTCATGACTAATTCGAGAGTAATGTGTGCTCTGTGAGTTTAAGATTGCACTGTTTTTAAAGAAACTGTAGAGGAGCAACAGAAAGCCAAGCCACTCCTTAAGTAGGTTGTGCTGATCGTTCAGTTTGTGACCAGACATCGGAAGTCCAAGGAGTACGTTTTGTTACTTCCACCTGCACTCACCGAAGACATTTTATTATCGTACACGACAGCTTGTTGGTAGGCCGTTGTTTTCCTTTTCATGTGTTGGCTCTTCAGAAACTTGAATACGTAAGCTTGTACATGATCTGGTGTTTTGCTATCCTTTTTACTGTTAAAATGTAAATATTTTAAGGGATATTTTGATTCTAAATATGATAAAAGAATTTCTCATCTATTTTGTGTGTGTGGTTTGAAACTCGGTAGTAAATGTTCTTTAAAGCTTTAATTCTCTTTAGACAGTGTTTTCTTACTCAGCCAAGAATATCTGTACACAGCTGTCAGTCAGTAGAGGAGGGGCAGTTGTTTCTAAATTTTAGAGGTTAGGCCGGGGATTTGGCTCAGTGGTTCCGCTGTCTTCCTGGCAAGCACAAGGGCCCAAGTTCAATTCCCGATAACCAAAAAAAAAATTTAAGGGTTAGGCTGAGCTAAATTGTGTATTTTAAATAGGCTAGAATAGAGCTGCCCATGCAAAACTAAAGCTGTATCCTTTTTAGTTGATATATTTCTAAGTGCTTGTACACCATAAATTTTTGTTGTTCTGACTCAGGATTGTAAGACCACAGAACTTTTACTTAAGTGAGATAGGTTTTGAATCTTTTTATAAAATGCCTAATTGGCCGGGGATTTGGCTCAGTGGTGCTGCTGCCTGCCTGACAAGCACAAGGTCCGAATTCGACCCCTGGTCCCAAAACACAAAGCCTGACTAACCCTGATTGGCTGGTGGGCAGTGGTGGCAAACCTGCGTCTCGCAGTGAGCGGTTGTCCTTGAAAGCGCTGTGGGCCACCGCCTCTCACAGGGCGACTGCACCGTTTAATATGCCAGTGGGACGTGAAATAGAACACGGGCGCTGCCGTTCGTGCAGGTCTGAACTTCGGCCCTAAATGCGTGATGTCTATGGCTGTGATGTACAGTAATAGCAAATGCTGCTGTGACAAAAGGAAAACAGAGCAGTGTGTTTAGCCTGTCTGTACCAATGAAGAAAAATACCAGCCACAGAATTACGATGGTTTTCCTGAAGCTAAGGATTACAATTGAAATAGTTTTGTAGCTGAATTAGCCTTGCAGTTTTCACTGGAGAGGAGACGAAGTTCTGAATGAAGTTAATTTGCCACACTTGCTTTTTAAAAAAATCCCTACCCAAAATTGATTATTGTTAAAATTCTAAATGCGAGATTTTTACTCCAATAAAGTCTGTTTAATTCCGGCCTGTTTTTATTTTGGAAGTAAAGTTGTTATTAGGAAAAAAGCCTCCCGCACCACCACCCCGCCCTGCGCCCACTAAAAATGTAAGGTTGGTTCATTCATCTTTTACACCATTGAGAAGTTGCTGTCAAGATTTTACAAACTCAAAAAAACTTTTTTTTTCAAATGTGTATATTGTCACTAGATCTTCTACTGGTTTAGTATTTGATCTGACACCCAATGTCTACAGTACAAAAAAAAAACAAAACTGGGTTATCAAATGGAAGAAAGACTTTACATCAGGTTTTGATCACCTCAGCTCATAATTTCTTGAATATGTTGTGGTGCTAACTGCATTTTTTTCTTTGTATCAGTGAATATCACTCAATACAAATGTTTAGAAATAGGCAAACCCATTTCCTAGGATTTTGGTGCTCCTGAATGTTAGAAGCTGTTTTTTTCCTTGACTTCTGGTGCTGCGGAATGAAGTAAGGGCCCCATCCTGAAGTGCAGCATGGTAGGGAAGTGCTGTACCACTGAGCTGTACCCGCAACCTAGGTGTCTTAACCTCTGGAGAGTTGGGAAGGCAGGATTATGTGAGGTTTTCCTGGTGAGGAAAGAATGGGAAAGTGACAATTTGTATTTTAGGTTTGAAGCTTTTCTGAGTTTTAAGTCCCACCTGCAACCAGCCTTAAACTAGTGAAGTGCATAAATGTCAGCTTTCAGCTTCCCCTGTTTCAGCAAACCTTGCTCTGATGACAAGGAAGGAAGAGACAGGCTATATCGTGTAGAGGTGCAAATTCCCTGTGGTGAGTGTTGTGTATATCTCAAATGCACCCATAAATGTTTTGCTTAACAAAATGTTAACAATTTAGACCTATGCTAAGACAGCCTGTATATACTTCTGTTAAGTAAAATATGCCAGGATGTCTCAGGCCCTGTAAAGTTCACCCTTTGTAATCTTTGTGGGAGTAAGAAAGAGGCTGAGAGCCCTCTGTCAAACCCTGTGTTGAGCACTGTATGTAAAAATCAGCCCAGAAAGGCAAAGGCTTCCCTGAGAGCTGAGGAAGTGGGGACTTGAAACACTGCTGCATTTGGACTCTTGTTCTCAGCCGGAATCCAAGCTGAGTGTTGCTTTTGCTTGCCAGTTTTGCTCTGAGAATCGAGAGTGAAGGAGGAGTAGTGCCTATTTACTACCCCTTCAAGGTCTAGCTTTGTTTCCATCCACTGGCCTGTTGGTAGCTACACTGAGCAACCCGGCTCCTTGGGGCGAACGTGAAGACGTAGCCAGCACTTTTGTGTTCTGTACGTGTGCAGAATTGGTCACAAGTTTTAGTTGTCCAGGCTGCTTACATTTTCTTCTGCTGCTGTGACAGATTACAGAAAAACAACACAGACTTAGGGTTGTGTGGATCAGAAGTCCGGTGCAGATCTTGGGAGTCGGGTACAAGTGTTAAGGTGTGCCCCGGGCAAGGGCTTTTTCTGGAGGCTTAGGAAGGAACCCATTTCTTTTCCTTTCTAATGTCCAGAGCCTAACTGAGTTCCTTGATTCCCAGTCCCTTCCTCTGCAGAATGAGGCCCAGTCTGTTCTCATGGCACCAGCTGTCTGATCTCCTATTGCCCTCACTCCCAAAGAGCCCGGTGATTACATTCACTTACCCAGATAGTCTTTGTTTCAAGGTCCGCTGAGTAGTGCTCAGAATTGCACTGTGACCTTAGTCCCACCTTGCTGTGTAACCCGTTTACAGGTGTCCAGGGACTGGGAGATAGACTTGTTTTGGGGAACTGTTAGTATACTTGCATTCACTGGTTCTAGGTTAGTTGGTGACCTCTTGTTAGATCTTTGAAGTTAAAGGAAAATCTAAAGCCTTAGCAAATAACAAGAAACTGGAGTACTGTTGAACACCCTGGAACTTTAGCGTGTGTTTAAACCATGTGTGACGTGTAAAACTAGCCTCTTAACAATAAATTGCTTGTTAACAGGTAAATTTAGCCTTAATTGTTCCAAAGCTTTTAGTGGTAGCTGTATTTTAAAGTACATGCAATAACTTTAATGCTACTTAATGAGAACCCTCTTACTTTAATATGACATGTATGAAAACTTCCAGACTAAAACAGGTTAGTAAGTGTTACTGTTTTTGTATTTGCCTCAAATCAGCTGTTTTTTTTTTTTTAACCTGTTTCTACATTTAATGTTTTGTTTGAAATATACTATGAAAGTGTGGCCTTCACCACTGGCCACAGGGAAGGGAGGACTTCGGATCCCCTGAAAATATCTCAGGTCCCTGGGACCACGCTTGGGGGAGGTGCTGCTTTCTGTAGACCGGACTGCGGTACTGCGTGAGAACCCGGGCCTGATGCACGGGAGGGCTGGGCAGACAGCCTCGGGAAGTTCTGTAACCTTCCGCAGTGCGGCCCTCTTGGCTTCATGCACCAGAGGATCACGAGGGCCCTAACTAGTATGTCTCTGGTGCAGTCCTGTGAGTAAAGGACCAGTAAAGCCGTTAGACCCCTTTGCATCTCCAGTGGTGAAGGCCACTGATGGAGACTCATGGACCTGCGGAGGCTCGGGCTGCTCAGGACGGGCAGGCACGGACCGCTTGGTCGCTAGCTCCTGAGAGGAGAGCTACACGCTTCTCCCAGTCTCCAACCTGGTGCAGTGGCTGGGCCTGACCAAGCTAGGTCAGAGTTTTTCAGCCAATACTGGTGGAGTTGTCATGAGTTTGTGTTTAAAGGAAAGAATCCTTTGGAACATCATGTACCCACTCACACAGTCGGCCCGCACCCGTTCCAGTGTCAGTAGGAACAAGAATGTCTCAGCACTTGGTGCCCAGTCAGCGCCGAAGTTCTTAACTTTGTTCCTCGGTTCTTCAGGAATGTATAGCTTTCTTATCGAAGTGGCTAAAATAACAAGAAAAAAAGCAATGAAGATTCTGCTCAAATGGTTAAGTAACCTCGTCCCTGTGCATAGTCTGGAATCTGCACGGGCATTAAAAGGTTAACTGTACTTCCGTCATCCCGGTTTGAGTAAATGGTCGTCTTCATTGTTGTGATGGGTAGTTCCGTTTATGTTTTAAGTTTACATACTGCTTCTTACTGAGATTTTGTTCCCATCCCGTGATCTCTATTCTGTCATTCTTCCAATTCAGTTACGAGTTTTCATTTGCTTTCTTTGTGGTAAGTTGTCAAATAGGAAATGCTGAAGATGCCAAGGAACAGTAACTACCTTCCAGTCTGCAGGGCTGACATGGGAGTGGGGCGTGAATCTTAGGGTACCTTGTTTTTGGCGACATGTACTTTCTCTTAAGCTCTTAATGGTACATATATTGTCGGGACAGTTGGATTAAGTAACTTTAATGACATTCACAAACTTATGCCCAATTTTAAGGTCTGCAGACTTGGAAACAAATGTAAATAAAGTTTAATTGTATATTTTGATCAATTATATAGGTACATGGCTTTTAAAATCAGTTCTACAAGGTTTATAAACAGGGCAATGATCTTCACTTTTCTGTACAGATAACCAACCACTTTTAATCTTTTTAGCCATTTCTTAAGGTATTTGCCTTCATACGTAACATGCAGTACTATTTTTAACAGTTACAGATATTTCAGATCTGTTGATGTCTTACTGTGAAACTCAGTCTGCCTCAGTCTCCCTTCCTACCTTTGTGCAATGATTTTTAGTTTGACCATATTCAGTTGTTTGCATTATTGCAATCATGTAAATATTTATAGCTGTGAGGCAAGTAGTATAATATAGTTAATTTCCTTCTATAATTTTATCTTGGTTAATATGTCTTATTTTTCTTTGTAGCTGTCAATTCATTCTCATTTGAATTTTATTGAAAATTCAAAGATTAATAAGCTAAATGAACTAATGGAATTAAAACAAGAATCAACATATAAAATTGGTCGTAAGAAAACCGAAACCGCCCCTTTTTCTGTAATTCACAAGTTTATCAGAAAGATGTGTCAGCATTCAGACTATTTCAGATAATGGAAAAGCCTTGATTCTCCATTAATAATGTGACAAAGTAGCTATCAAAATAACAACATTTATACATACACGTGTATTAAAATTGCCAGTGATAACTTATGTACTTAATTTTGCACTTGTTTGTTCACCTCCATTATAAACAAACTACATGGATCAGTCTCCTGAGAATTAGACTGTT